CGTGGGCTGCACCCCCCACCATTTCCGAGCCCAGCCACTGCCCCAGTTCCAACTCCCCTCCCCCACAGCGCCTCCAGACCCTCCCCCTGCTCCTGGCCCTTCCCTCCTCTCCCCAAACTTAGCCGGCCTGGAGATCTTTCCTCTCCCTCCCATTCCCCCTGGCTACCAGCACCCAAGAGCCCTGGCCGATGGGGTGGGCCCACTGCACTGCCCTCGGGTCAGGCTTACTCCCCACTGGCCCCGTCCATTGATGGCGGAGCAGCTGAACACCCCCACAGAGCTGCCACAGCCCCAGCCCTTGACACAGATTAGCAGGAGGCAGCCATTAATCAAATAATTATGCACGTAATTAATTGACTGCTTTTGTCCTAAGTGCTAGTTAGAAGAAATGTAGGGATTCCAGAGATTGCTTAACAGCCATGGTGAGGCAGCGTTTAGATCAGGAATTGGGAGAAACTTTGCAAAGACTGCTGGGATCTTGGTAGAGCACCATGGGAGACAGATATAAGTCAAAACAGAATGTTCATATTACTAGGTACAGGCTTATATATTCTATTTTATGGTATTTGTGTGGTGTGTGGGTTTTTTCTTCCTATGAGCACCGCGCCTGAGTGCACCTGTCATCCCTGACTCCACAGGCTCACCTGTTCTGGAAGGGAGCCTGGCCTTTGGCCCCAGGAGGACCTGATCTCAGGCCCTTTACTAACTCCCTGTGTGACCCTGGGCTCGTCACTCCCCACCTCTGGTTTTCAGTTTTCTCTGCAAGATTGCCCGAGCACCAGCTAGGAAGCTGAAGTTAATTCATCAGACACCTACCCCGGGAAAGTAGAAAATACGGAAAAATACCGAGAGTTCAGGCTTATTTTAAATAACACTAAAGATATGTAAGGGAAGGAATCGTCTTATTTGTAGGTGTCTAAACCTCTTTTCCATGAAAATGTCCTTATGAAATGATGGTAGAAGTTAATGATCTTGGTTTTGTTTTTTTTTTTAATGTCCTTAATTAGCAAATCGGCATTGTTACTGCCAGAGGCACCTAGCCTCTGGTAGCTCCCAGCGTCTCCATGTCCAGAGTCTCAGAACCCACCCACCACCCACCTCTCCTCCACAGGCTCCAGCCGCCGCTACCAGGTGAGCGCTCTGCACACCAGCAAGGCCTGCAACGTCATCAGCAAGTACACAGCCTTTGTGCCTGTGGATGTGAGCAAGCGCACATACCTGCCCACCGTGGTGGGGTTCCCCAACTCTGGTAAGGGAGTGGGACCCCAGTGCCAAACAGCCCCAGGGAGCTGGAGGAGGGGCTGAAATTCAAAGCAGCACAAACCTCAGGAAGGGGTACAGGGAAGGGTCTGGGAGCAGGAAACCGCCCCCCCCCCAGATGTTTTGGCTGCTAAGGGATGGGGTACCCAAGAGCAGCCCACACCCCACTGCTCTGCAGGAGGCTGTAGAACTATCCTATGCCCTTTTCCTAGCAGATGAGTATGACTTTGTTGTATTTCTCCAACTGGAACAACGATATGAGCTCACTGTAAAAAAAAAAATTCCAAAATATAGAAAGATAGAAGAAACTGGAACTGACAGTCTTCGGGAAATGAGCACTAATTACCTCCTGGTGTGATCATCCTCCCAGACTTTGGATATCTCCATGTACAGAAGCCAAAAGACAGATGATTTTGCAGGAATTGGGTCATACCGATACGTGCTATATTTAAAATATAGGAGTAGAAAATATGTTTCTTTGCAGATGACTCTATATCATCATTTTAATAGCTGCAGTGTACTTCACGGCAGAGAACTGTCACCGTCATCATCATCATAGCCAATTAGACAGTGTTCCCAAGCTATATATACATATATGGATCATCATTTAAGCCTCAAAACAGCTCTGCCAAGTAAATGCTAATACTCCCATTTTACAGAGGGAGAAACAGAGGCAGAGGGGGGTAAGTAACTTGCCCCAGATGTCCAGCAATGAGGGACAAAGCCAGGTTTGAAATGCCAAGGGGCCCAGAGTCTGTGTCTCCCCCCCCCTCCGACCCACCCCTCTACTACCTCTGAAGGTTTCTCAGGACATAGTTATCCAGCCGCCCTGGGGCTCTCCCTCTCTTCCCCTTACTCCCCGTGGATCATTGTAAGGGTCCTACAGAGGACATCTTGCTGCAAAGAGCATCTTAGTGCACCCCGCCGGCTCTGGTAGTTCCCTCCTGAATGGCCATTGACAAGTCAGGGAACTGGGTTCCGGTTTTCTGGAATACTCTCTGGGAAGCGCTGGCCAGATCTTCAGGGGGACTGGGGAACAGAGGTTAAGAGGGCCCGGAACCTCCAGACGGCATGGTCATTTAACTCTCAGAAGTAAGATTGCACAGAAAAGGGCCAGCCTGTTTCAAACTGGGAAGTGTGTTGCCAAACCCGCCCTCCCCACGGTCACTGCCATGTCCCTCCTCACCGACTGGACCATTATATATATTTCTCAACTCTGCCAACCTGATGGGCGAAGGATCTTCCTTTGGGGGAACTTCTTAACTTCTTTATGAAATCCCTTTCATAACGTGTTTACAAACTACATGGGCTGTTTTCTTCCAGAATTACATGTTCCTTCCTTTGCAACTCTGTTTGTTTTTAGCAGACCTCCGTAAAGAACTGTATTTGGAAACATAATGTTTTCCTCCTTTCCTTTCCTCATCCCTCTTGCTATTCCCCTCCTCCTCTTTTCTTTCCTTATCTGTCATACCCAAGTAATCAAGGATGGTTTCCCTCCCTCCCTCCCTCCCTCCCTTCCTCCCTTCCTCCCTCCCTCCCTCGCTCCCATTTCCGGTCTGGCCAGCAGCCCAGCTCCTCTCCACTGGGCATGCTCACCGTGGGACGCTGCCATCCTGAATGACATCCTCATTCAGGCTCTCTCCTGCCCACCTTTCCCAAGCCATCCTGCTGACCGCCTGTGTGCAGTCTGGAGCTCCCAGTTCAGGACCCCCTATTCCCAGCCCCCTAAAGATCTGCCAGCACTTCCCAGAGTGTAAAACCAAACCCAACTCCCTGACTTGCCGATGGCCATTCAGCATAAAACTAGAAAATGTCAGATTAGGAAACACATTTCAGAGCCACTAGATTAAACAAGCTCAAAGAAAGCTTTCTTTACCTCGGAACTGCTAAGAATGGCTGGTAGGCGAATACCCATCCAAAGGCCCAGAGAGTGAGGCTCAGTCAGCAGCTCCTCCAGGGCACTCTGTTTTTAAAGAACAATTAGCAGACTAGTGGGACTGTAAGAACAATTGGTGGGGCTCGTGACACACTTCAGGGTGCTGTGGCCTCTCTCTCTCCCCGGCACCCCTTCAGGGGCCTGTCCTGAGGGAGGGGCCCTGGGACCTGGATCTCAGACAGTAGGAACCGGGTGTCTCTGAGGAAACCAACCTCTCAACAAGAAAGCACCACTGCTTTGTGAGCATGATCTCAGCAGGAGCAGAGTGGGCATCGTGATCCCACTTTCCAGGTGAGGTAGCTGAGGCTCAGTGCTCAGCACCCCAGCAAGCTAGGAAGAGAGGGGGCCGCGCTCCCCCCCGGGCACCCTGACGGCAGAACTGCCGCCTCACCTGCGCATGCCCTCCTCCCTTTGGATGCTGGGCAGGCTGACGTCAGCATCGGCCCTGCCTGGCACACCGGTGCCCTCTGACGCTGCCTGCCCTCGTGCAGGCACGACATTGCGGACGGTGAGCTCTCATGGCCTGGCCCGAAGGTGGAGGAGCAGCTGTGCTGGCTCTGGACGGTCACAGACCACGCTCGGGGAGGACTCGGCAGCAGGGGACGACAAATGTCAGAACTTAAGTAAGTGCCGCCTCGGGCGTGTTCTGAAGCCTGGCCCCTGAGTGACAGCACCCTCAAGGCCGAGCCCCCTGAGGCCTCTCTGAAGCTGCACTCTGAGCCCCGCCAGGCCAGGGCAGGCCAGGTGTCCAGGGCGCACGGTGGCCTGAGGGGCACAACGGGGCTCAGCGTGGCCGAGCAGGCCACCGTTAACCCAGCTTTGCCCGCGTGCCTGACCACCCACACCGCCCCCTCTCAAGGTCCACCAGCCCCCGGGGCTGTTCCTCCTCCCACCTCTGAGTCCGCCTGGGCCTGAATGCCAGGAAACCTATTAAGCGAGGACACAAGCTAAGAGGCAGTTCCATCTGGCTGGCTCCCGCCATCTGCTTCTTTCAGAATCCCCCACATCTCCCCTTCAGCCTGAGCCCTGGTGCCTGCAGCTTGGGTCCTTGAAGAGCCTCGGGCCTGTCAGCTTGTTGTGACCTTGCGCCAGTTCACAGTGCTTTAACCCTCGGTGTCCTGCATGTCAGCCCGTCTTCTGTCCTAAAGACAGCCTACTTGCTGCCAGCCCCTCCCTTCGAGCCCTCGGCGTGTGAGGGGACGTGCCCTCCTGCCTTCTTCACGCGTCGGCCACCCGCCCAGTCACCAGATGGGAATAGTCTTACCTGGGGGACAAGAAGTGCCACAGATTGAGGCGGGCCAAGAAGGAAAGGGGGTTCGAGCAGGAGGAAGCCCAGGGAGCCCTTCGGAATTAAGTTCTGCCAGCACATTGGCCCCTCAGAGCCTCTGAAACAAGGGGGGCGGGGGAAGCTGCCCCTACCCCCAGCCCCCACCTCCTAGGCCAAAGCGGGGCCTCCCTCTGGAGAAGATCTCTGACCTTCCCTTTCTTTTTCCCCAGCTCAGCACGGGTCCTCACCACAGACCCCTTCTTTTTTCAATCGTCCCCCGGTTCACACCCGGTCTCCAACTTCTAAACTCTGACCGAACCCCAGGCCCTTGCCCTCCCCAAGGGTGACCCTGGCTGAGGCGCACTGAGAGGCGGTTATGGGCCCCCGGCTCACTCCCACCTGAGTTTGTTTGCCCCATCAAGAGCGGAGGAAGCTGAGCTCGGGGGGCCAAGTGGCCTGTCCTGGTGGAGCAGCAGGGACACTGTTGGGGGGGGGGCCACCCCAGAAGCAGAGCAGCCCACCCTGCGGCCGCGCCAGGGGCTGACTCGGGTACTGGAGGGGAGAGGGGCTCCAGGCGCTCAGGCCTCTCTGGCTTCTCCGTTGTAGATGTGGAGCAGAGCCCCAGCGAGGCCTTGTCCCTCGGCCGCGAGAAGTACGCGGCCTCCGAAGGTGAGCAGCCGAGGGGGCCGGCCCCCCGTAAGATGGCGGGGGCTTGCGGGCAGCAGAGCATCCTCTGTCCTAGCCCACCAAGTCTTCAGCGGTTCGTTCAGGCCCGAAAACACCCCCCGTGGGAGATAAGCAGGGCACCCACAATTTAAAGATGAGGAAGCTGAGGCTCAGAGGTGAGGTGCTGACCCCACGCCTTGCAGAGCTGGGCCGGGTCGGGTCTGCCCTTCCCCGCTGGGGACCAGCCATGCCACCCCATGCTAGAATTCTCCAGCATGTGCCCAAAGCTCAGTGAGGGGGGCTGACGGGAGGCTGCCGCCGTCCCCACAGTAACCTTCCGGAGACGCTCGGGACCCGCCAGGGGAACTTGGAGGCCAGGCTCTTACGTGTGGCCCCTCCATTTCAGCCCACCCATACCCACTGGGCAAGACACAGCCAGAGCCTAATGTTAGGTTGGATCTCTGGTGACATGGGGAGTCCCTGTCCCTCTCTGGGCCTCTGTTTCCCCAGCTGGGCAGGGCACCCTGCAGACCGCAGCTGTCACTCTGTGGCTCTCCAGGTCCCCTCCGCAGCCTGGCCACCAACACCCTTTCCTCGCTAAAGGCCGCAGACACTCTCTTCGGATCCAGGTAGGTGGGTCTTGCCCTGGGAGTCAGTCTACCAGGCTTGCTACCCTGGGGCTGAGCCTGATTTGAAGACCAAAGGCAGGCCTGGCTGCCATTTAGGCAAAATGGACAATGTGAAGGGTGACCAGAAGACCCCCCTTCACCCTGAAATTCCACTGTCTTCCAGCATCACAGATGGCAAGTCCCCTCGGGAGGTTCACTTCCACCCTGTCCTTAGTGTTCTCCACCCCTCATGTCCACGGTCCTTGCAAATGCCAGACCTCTTGGCAGGGCTGCACAGACCCTCTGCCCCTGGGCTGGCCAGGACACGTCCTCCAGAGAGCACAGCTTGCTCCCTGTCCAAGTCACTGTCAACGCACGGCGTGACTCCCAGCCTCAGTTTCCCCCGCTGTCATATGAGGTCGGTGGTGGCCTCTGTCACATCCCTCGGCCCTGACTGCAGCACCCGGGGGGTGGGGTGACCAGGGGCTCCGGGGCAGACATTGCTGATCTCTCCCCTCCAGGCTGAACATCAACACATCCAGGCTGCTGACGCGAGCCGCCAAGGGCTTCCTGGGCAAGCCACCGGCCAAGGTCCCAGAGTCCACCCAGGGGAGCCAGAGCTTCGACTACATCCCGCTGGTGAGTACCTGGGCCTCAGAGGTCAGCGGGTCCAGCCACCCCACCTGCCACTCCTCCTCCACAAAAGGGGACAGACTAGCCCTTTCCAGGGGCCACCAGCACCTACCTGCTCCCCTCCCCACACCAGGATGTCGCTAGATGCCAGCGTCAGCACCACAAAAATTCTTTGCAATCTGCTGTCTTCGCTTTAAAAATCCACGGGACTTGCCTTCTACTCGTGAGTGTCGTTTTCAAGACAAAAATAAGCCTTGAAGTGACTCACACGCGAGTAAAACTAACACCCCGGGGACATGAACCTCCTCTAGTAAAAGGCGCCTCAGACACCCCAGCGTGCAGGGCTGGGGAGAACCCAGGTCTGCAGTGGCCGAATCGGGATGCGGGCACCCAGGAGCCTCGCCCTGCCGCATCAGGGCCCCGCAGGGCAGGGGGATCAGAGGGCGCATGAATCTTGTGCTTGAATTCCCGCCCGCCCAGGGCACCGGGCACCGTGCGCGTGCCCACGCCGTAGGTGTGGAGCCGGGCTGGTGCCAGCCCCGGGGAGACCGTCTTGAACTGAACGGACAGGGCCCCTGAGTCCACAGCGCTAAGTGTCTGCTGGGGACGCAAACAGGCATTCGAGGCTCGGGGCTGTGATGGGGGAAGCTGGCTTGTTGAGGACAATGAGGGGAGCACAGGGGAGCAGCAGTCCCAGGGGAGGTGAGTGGGGTCCTGCACCGCCTCCTGCACCCGGGTCTTGGGTAGGCCCAGACCTGCTGGCTGAGGGAATCAGGCAGGAGCCAGGCGCCTGGAGAATGGGGTTTGATGGGGGAAGAGGGGGACAAGCCAGCGCCTTCACATCAGGGTTTAGACCATTGCACGAGGAAACTGAAGCCGCAGCACAGCAGACCTCCAAAGACGGATGGGTTCTAGGCGTTAAAAGGTCCCTGGGGTGAGGGAAGGTGGAGGGGGCCGGAGAGGGGAGCAGGGTGCAGGCTGAAAGGTGGCAGGAAATGGCACGGACAGAGCTGTTTGGAAAACAGACCTGTTGGGACAGGGGAACTGGTGTGGGAGGGAGGAGGCCGAGGTGAGCTGCCCAGGCCTGGCGCAGAGCTGGCTGGGCCGGGGGCTGCGCTGGGCCCCCAAGCCCAGGACTCCAGGCGGCTGGGGAGTGAAGCCGAGGCGTTGGCTTAGACGGCCATGAGCTGGCTGTGCCTGTGGGCCGCAGCACGGAGCTCAGTGAGCCTGGGTGTCCCAGAAGTGCTCCTGCAGCAAGGCCAGCTGAGCTGGGGGAGGTGAGTGTGGACCCTGACTTGGGAGTAGCTGAGGCTCCACAGGCTGAAGTGGAGGGCCACTGAGGGGCTCCCCCACACACAGGTGTGTCTGCAGCTGGCCTCTGGGGCCTTCCAGCTCAACCAAGCCTTCTGCGAGGCCATCCAGATCCCCATGGAGAAGCTCAAGTGGACCTCGCCCTTCGCCTGCCACCGAGTGCCCCTCACCACCCGCCAGAGCGAGCCCAAGACCACGAGCCCGCAGGTGTACAGCAGCCACTCGCCTTGGCACCCCTTCTACGACAGCTGCTCCCCAGAGCCCCTGGCTGAGGGCAGGCCGGACTGGGGGGCCAGGGCCGCCGCAGAGCACACCGGGAAGCTATGGGCCACCGTGGTGGCCCTGGCCTGGCTGGAGCACAGCTCAGCCCCCTACTTCACCGAGTGGGAGCTGGTGGCCGCCAAGGCCAACTCGTGGCTGGAGCAGCAGGAGGTGCCCGAGGGCCGCACGCGGGCCACACTCAAGGCGTCGGCCCGCCAGCTGTTTGTGCTCCTGCGGCACTGGGATGAGACCCTGGAGTTCAATATGCTCTGCTACAACCCGAATTATATGTAGGGGGGCGCGCAGGGAGGCAGGCAGGGAGGGGCAGAGGGGGCCGTGGACTGGTGGGGAACTTTGGAAGCTGCAGCCAATATGGTGCCCTGGACTGGCAATCGGGGTCTGAGTCGAGTTCCAACTCGGCTACCCCCTAGCTGTGAGAGTTAGGCCAGCCCTGCCCCCTGTCTTCTGGGACTCAGTTTCCCCACCTGTGAAATAAGTGGGCGAGGGAGTGAAATAAGAGGGAGTTGGACTGACTCCAGCTGGTTCTAAGGTTCCTTTCTACGCAGGCCTCTGTGGCTTACTCCCACTGTAAGGTGCAGAGACAGAGCTCAAGCCTCAGTTCTCTGTGGGTCAGGGCAATGCTCCCCACAAATAAAAGGGTGGATGGGCGAGCCCAGCATCTGCAAAATGCAAAAGCCCAGACCTGCAGGCGATGCACACAAGAAGCCCTCCTGGGACTGAGGCACTGTGGACAGGCCGCTGACCCCATGCTGGCAGGTCAGGACCCCTAAGTTCCCTTATGAGCCCACTGGAGAACCGGCCTTCCCCACGCTCCGTGGCAGTCGTGAGGTCTGGACTCCGAAGCACCCTGAGTGTATTTCAGTATCAGTGGGGAGGTTACTAGTGACCTCTGATCTGGGGAGAAGAGGTCATCATGACCGGGGAGACAACCAGGAGCCAAAGTTCAGTTCAACCTGTGCAAACAAGAACAGGCCAAAAAGAAAAGACGGCCACAGAGCCAGCAGCGAAGCCAGAGGACACCTGCAGGAATCACTCACGCTGAGGGCTAGAGAGACACGTGTCAGCTGCATTCTAGCCACCGTGGGAGCAGGGCCTTCCTTGCAACAGAGCCACGTGGCTGCAGGACATTTGGAGGCCAGTCCGCCCGGAGGCTTGAAGCTCCAAGCAGGGAGCACCCAGAGACCCCTCCTTGCCCTGCCGGCCCCATCCTGGGCAGGCGGTGACCCCTGTGTCTGCACCCAGCGTCCTGTGGCTGCTGCCCAGTCACCCTGCCCTGAGCACCCCTCTGAAGGTGGGTCTGGACTCACTGGGGAACCCCATTAGCCCAGGACACCAGGCTGAGTCCCCACACCCCGGGTACCCCTCCACAAGGGACCTAACCAAACGGTCCCTTCCGAGTCCATGACTCTGGTGTGTGAGCCCCACAGGGGGTCCCCCAGAGACTTCCCTCTTCAGGGAGATTTGAAGGACCCAAACTGGCCTGTGGGCCTCTGTGGGCTCTGGCACAGTCATGAGGTCTCCAGAAATGCCCAGGTCCTCTGCCTCTGAGATGTCTCCCTCTTCCTGGACAGACTGGCTCAGACCGCCTGTGTGACCTTGAGCAAGTGGCCTGTGTTTCCCGGCCCCTCTTCACCCACCAGGGTGGACTGGGCCATCCAGACTCCTGGAAATCTGCTCTGGGCTCCAAGCTCAGTGCAGGGCACAGAGTAGCCCAGCACCTACCTGCCATGTTGCTAGTGCTCGTGATGTCTGACGGAGTAGCCCAGAAACCAGCGACACTATCCCTCTTCTCCAGGACACATCCCCAGGCCCTGACCCTGCGGGGCCTTTGACAACTCCAGTGCGCAAACAAATCCCGACCTCATCCCTCCCTGGCTTCCCTGCCCGGCTCCAGAAGGTGCAGAGGGAAAAATCCTCTTTGATTTCAATAACTCAAGGACTTTGGGGAAACTGGGTAAGAGAGAGATTTTCAAGAGCTGCAGGGTATTGAGATGACAGACAACTTCAGGAGTCTGTTCTCAGGATCACTGAATGGGACCGAGGGGACTCGGACTCGCTTTAAAGAAGAGGTAAGGACCTCCCTGAGTAGCACATGCATTGAAGGTAGCATCATGGTTCCAGAAGTCCTCAGGTCGGTGAATCATTGCGCCTGTAATTGGCTTTAATCTGGATTAATCTGGATGCATTTGCTGAACAGCCTGGCTTCCTCAGTCGTGCAGAGGGGTGTGTCTGCTCTGCCTGGCTGAAGAATCAGGAGAGTGTGGCTGCTCGTGGCTGTCCCAGAGTCCAGCTTGTAGTGGGAAGATCGCTTTGCTCAGCGCTGGGGGCCTCAAGTGTTGGTCTAAACACTACCACCCGTGTGCTGTGTGACTTTGGCAAGTTGCTTACTTTCTCTGGGCTCCAGTTTCATCTTTTGCAGAATGAGCTCACACCAAGTCATCCTTTCTACCACTTCCTTAAAATAGAGAAGAATTAGTAATTCAATAAGAAACTCTCCTGTGGGCAAATGTGTTGATTAAACACCAGGAAAACAAATGTCTTTAGGTCAGGACAACTCAGTCCCATTAACAAACACGAGTGCACTGACCCCCTCCGATGGGGTGACTCAGCAGCACTGGCCCCGTTTTTCAGCTGGGGAAATGCTAGTCTAGACATCTAGCGAGGAGGGGCTGTGGGCATGGACGTTTGCTACTGAGAGCCTACTGCGTGCCAGGCGTGCTGGGACTCCTCGGTGAACACGTAGCGGGTGACCCTGCTCCCTGGCCTGCCAGGTGGATGTGTCTTGACTGGCCAGTCCCCACCTGCGGTCCTGCCACCTGCGAGTGTGGCCTAAGGCCTATCCAGGTGCTCATCTTGAGTGTTTTGACATCGCTGATGGCACCGCCTGGGGAAAGCTGACCCGGGGGGGCGGGGGGGGGAGGTGCGGCCAGCGTGTAGCAGCTGGGGGCACTCCTGGCGGGCGCTCTGGGGCACCCCAGCGACCCAGAGCTCCCGAGGGTCAGGCAGCCACGTGCACAGAGACAGAACCCCTCTCAGGTCCCTCGGCTGCGGACGCCAGGAACACCAGCCCCACTCTCAGGCAGACTGACCTGGACTTGTGGGTCAGCAGCATGGGTTTCCAGCCTGCACCTGTGTCTCCCCAACCTGTCCCCTGCCCCCAGAACAGGGAAGGTCACCCGCTGTCGGCCAGGTCCTGAGTGAGTGATGACGTAGCTGCCTCCAAGAGCAATGCAGATGGCTTTCACGTGCGTGTCTGGCATTTGAGAAAGCACGCTTCCCTCACTCGCTGCACCCCCAAGCTGGTCCACCTGGAACAGCTGTCAGGAAAGGCTTCTCAAAGTGCCCCCTAAATCCTGACTTGCCCCCTGGGGCTCCCCATCTGCCCTTATTGAAGCTGTTTCTCCCGTTCTTATCTACTGCGCCCCTTCTCTTTTCCTTGGTAGGCACACCCAGGGAGCGGGAAGTGAGAAAGCAGTCTCCCCCGACCTGTGAACAGTCTGCCCCCCCATCCATCTGCTTGGGTGACCCTCAGCCTAAGGCTTGTCCAGGTGGGGGACCTGCTGTGGGGCGGGGGGGCTGCCTCCCACAGCTTGTGCACTAGAACACCCCACATGGCTCCCGGACACTTCCTCAGTGGTCAGAGGGGAGAGCAGGGCCTCACAGCCTCCAGATGGACCCCAGCAGATCTTCCTTCCCCCCACCAATTTAGCAGCAACTAGAGAAGTCAACAGAAAAAAAAAAAAAAAATCAGCATATCCCTCAGCTGTAACAGTGCCGGGTTAAAATACCAGGGCAGGGGCGTGTGTGGCACTTTGCAGCCGGTTGATCTGATCCCAGCGATCTGCCCTCAGGTCAGGGGCGCAGCAGCATCTCCTGGCCGGGCCCCACCAGGAGCTCCAGGAGCTCCACGTGCCAGGCCCCAGCCCGGCCTGGCCTGCCGCCCTCCAGGACCCGCCCCCGGCCCCCTGACAGCGGGCTTTCTCCTGTCCTGGGCGCCCAGCCGCTTCCGAGACCACGCACCTTGCTCGGTGTGGCCCAGTGTGGCGACCTGCGCGTGGTGTAGTTCCACTGTCTGCCCCAGTGGCTTCGGCTCAAGTGGCACGGCTGGTGCGACCCCAAGGGCCTACAGTGTGCTGCTCCTCCCCACCCGGTCCCCACAGCACCTGTGACGTGTCCTGTTCTCGGAGTCCACATCGTCCTCACGACCTGAAGCCGGTGGCTGTGCAGGTGTCGTGAGCATCTGCCTTTGGCCACCGGTCTCCGCCGACAGTGAGCAAGCCCCACGCTGGCCTTCAGCGTCTGTCCCCAAAGGAATGTCTCCTTCGTCCACACGGACGCTGTTCAAGGCTGTCGCTCATAAAACCTGTGTCTCCTGGACGCTAGGACGAAGTTACACTTGCGTCTGCCCTTTTGTTCTCAAAGCCGATACCTGACTTTCAAGCCAGTGGCTGGGCCATGTTTCTCGCCCTCAAGGGGCGCGTCTGCCACGGCCTGGGGCCCCCCAAGGGGCACCACTGTCCCAGTTTGCTGCGGACTGAGGAGGTGGGACTATGGGACCTTCAGTTTTAAAAGTGAAAGTTTTACCGCTCAGCAGTAGGCGTGAAGGGGCACCATGTTTCCCTAGAAGCAGAGCCTGAGATAAGGATTCATAGGGTACGTGGGGGATCCCAGGACATGTCCTAGGTCAGTGAGGAGGTCGCCTGTAAGGGGCTGTCCCGGCAGGTCCCCACACCCAGCAGTGGGGTGTGGACCTTCATCCGGTCGGGGCCCCTGGCGCCAGAGCAAGCACACACCTGCAGGCTGGCTGGAACAATGGGGTGTGACAGATCCACCCAGCCACAGGGTGGGGGCCGCACCCCCAGAAACACTCCTCGGCGCTCGGGGCCTGCCGCCGTGCGCAGCCCAGCTGGCATGTGCAGCTGAGTCAAGCACCAGGCCAGGACGTGGGCACCTGCAGATGTCCATGGAGATGTACATGGACGTGAGACGGGCCGTGGGGGACAGCGAGCAACCCCAGCACCTCCCCCCCCAACCCCCCAGCACCTGCTCCGGCATCTCTCCAGAGCTGCTTTCCACACTTCTGGGTTTTCTCAGAAGCCCTCGGTCATCATGAAGTGATTTTACCTGAAAGCTGTCGCGGGCCACCAGGCTGCCTTGGAACCCACACACTGACCCCCAAAGTCAAACAGGGCTCCTTTGGAAAGCTTGTAGCAGCTGGCCTTGAATCCTCATAATCAGTCACCCCGTTACAGCTCTCAGGGAGAGCTGTGGGA